GTATTTATCCTACTACCTTTAAGGTAGTTATATTTTCCCACAATTATATGAATATCCCTCACGTTCCCATTGAATTTCCCATAGCTTTGCTTCCCTGGATGTATCCTATCCAGGGTGGACATTTTTAAACCAAATAGGGTGAACACAGTTCTTATAATAAATCTTCAGGCAATCTCGAAAGCATACTTAAAAACGAAAAAAACTCCACGATAACCTAATTCCCTTATCATATTTCTTAAGTTAAAGCAGTTCCCGAAGATACAACCCATTTGAAAATGGTTACGCTGATGAGTAAAACAATATCAAGGCTACTGTGCATCCGATTTCGAGTAGTCATCATCCAGCACTTAAAGAGAGCAAGATAAGCAATGAACTTGAGTAGGTCTGGATGTTACCGGCAGTTCTTAAGATATAAACCGTATTTAATCTAGATCTCATAAGGTGATGGACTGCTAGTCGAATATTCCTACGATAGAAATAAGTATCCCTAATGATGCCATTGAATTTTACTTAGCCTTGTCTCCCAAAAGGTATTCTTATTCAGGGTTGAATGAAGCTTCGAACACGCATGAATCTCATCTGCACCCACAACGGAAATCTAACCAGGGTAGTACAAAACTTATTTTAGACATGTTACCAGTACGCTTGACCGCTTCATGGACCGGTGTGTTTGTGGGCAGGCGTGATCAGATGAGTGAGTCGGTTTGGATGCCATTCAATTTAAAAAGATAAGTAATATAGTCAATGTTAATAGCGAATACAAGTTTGCTACAAAATTTTTTATGAAAGGTCTGGATTGAGTTGATAGACATTTCTGCTCTGGAACTCACTAACACTCGTGACAACGAGGTGTAGTGTTAACATGTCTAAAATAAAGGCTGTACTAGATGGGCTCGATTCGATATATGAGTTGTAACGAGACCAAGGATAGGTCGAGACTGTAGTCCACCTTGGATGATAATTCGCTTTAATTGAAAGACTGAGTTACATCCACAGCCATCGTGGTACATACAAATATAATTGCAGGAAATCCCAACTATCGCTTTTTCATCAATTCGACCAAGAGTGAATAAGGTAATAATTGAAGAAGAATTGTTGGTCTGAATTTCGCCCGTATAAAGTGTGAGATGAGAGACTCCGAGCAATATCCCACTATTATCAAAATCAAGGTACTACAAAACTCTGACAAAATTTAGTCGCATTTAGATTGGAGCGACTTAATATCATATTACCAAATATTAGCTCGACAGCAAACTGGTTATTAAGCCTGCTCTTTCGAGAGTATAAAAGAAGGCCTTAATGTAGTCATTGTACATAAAAAGATATCACTAAAAGTAATCGGTTTGCTGGTCGTTATCATATGCTAACCACAAAATCAACAGATTAGATAATGTAGTCACTAAAGCTTTGAAAACCCAGGCTATGTTATGCTTATTTTAATTATATGAAATTATAAATCGTAGTTTTAAACTCAGATATACGGGCACAAATAAGCAAAAATGCAAATGAGCTTCGAATATATGGAGAAAATCTGGGGTCGACGGGTGTTTTAATAATTTTATGTAATTGGAAATCATAATTTGGCCTCGAAGTGTTTGAAAGTAGGACCGCTTCGGAGTTGAAACTGTTGACCTGTGCTTTGTAGTCGTCTGCACACCCTCTTGAGATCCTGACGAATCAATGCTGAGATTTCTTATAGCATATAAGAGGCATCAAAGAATAAAATCTTATTTGACATAATTTATTAATAGTAAACAATTAATGCTAATCAGCACAATTGGATATGTACTCAGCCAATTGTTCAATGCTGGAAATCACGAACGCAATGGAAGAGGGTACAGGACTAGGTACGTTCCACAAGGTCTCCTTGATGCTCCGACCAAGTTGCGAAAACAAGGCCGGAACAACACTACATAGATTAAGGTTGAAGTAGCCAACTCCTAAGATGCCTCACTAAGATCGCCAAGCTAGATGTATAAAAAAGTTACTATGTTCGTAGCCAGCCATCTTTTCTCTTGATTTAGTATATCTTTGCTCTATTTCGTGAAGTATGGATTCCTGCTCTAATGTTGTCTGTCACAGAACAGACTAAAGTTTACAGTTTCATCTGGACCGCAGGATGATGAGCCGAGGACTCCTTTCCACAATATAACTGTCTTTCCTACACAAAAATTCTCACAGTTTCTGGTGCCTACATCACAAATTCCTAATAGCCAACTTTACCGTCGAAATGGAAACTCATTTCACAAGTTTTCTTAAATTGTCTACTAACGTTATGCTATCTATGCTATATGTATAACTCTGGAAGATTGTGAAAAAATTGTTTATGTTTTGATTTACGCAATTGAATCACTGAGTGCCTCCATAATATCACGAAATTTGGATAGTATTGAATTTGGAAACTAATCCTGGATTAATATATGGCAAATTTTGCCGAATAATGCGCAGATGTATGTAACAAGAGATGCAAGTCCATCACAGTGTATAGTTTGAATAAAAGTTTTATCGTTGTCGGGAATTTCAATTGTCATTCCTTTATCGCAATCTGCCACCTAGGATTACTACAGTCCCTATCCAAGCCATATATAGTATAAAATCTTACTAATTATGAATATAAATAATGGCGAATACAAATTTGTTCCATTGACATTTCCACCATAAATGTGTAAGTGGCTTGGCTTGCCGTGAAAGTCACGCCTTCCTCGAGTTTCCAAGAGAAAGATAAAGTTACGCACAAAAGTTGCATCCCTATGGAATGATAGCTAATCGTCATTTCCTCTAGTTGAACATATCCCGTTGTTTAGTGATGAACGTTAACTTTTAATAAGATGGTAATTAGTCCTAATATGCATTCCTACTTCACTCTATTTTGCCTTTGATAGGGCCTTGGCTATGCTGAATACTACTATCCATTATAGAGAAAGGAGAAGACTATGATTAGATGAAGCCACAATGATTCAAATAGCAGCATGAAATCGTTCCAACTGGGGTGCCCAACTTGAAGCATTTAAAAAATCGTATGAAACCTGAAAGGGTAAAACTCTAAATTTAATAAATTCTCAAAACTGTTGACAGAGTATGCCCAAATGTTTGGGTAAGTTAATACCGGCTACTGGAAGAGAATGAGTTAATCTAATATCAAAAGAGATACCTCGAAGAAATACAAGACTAGTTTGACAGCATAGGCAAGTTGTGAGCATTACGTGCACTTAACGGTCAATCGCAAGGACGCCTCCATGTTATAAACTGGACCTTACGTAATAACCAAAATTTACTGATCGAATAAATTCTTTCGAGTGAATGTTAAGAAATAGGAAGAGCTGTGAAAAATTAGATACAGCAATAATTCAAAGAGTTTTTGACCATCAGTGAATAGCTGCCAAATGAGGTCATTAATTTTTTCAGCTATGAAGTAAATCGAAATATAGCATGATGCCTTGACGTGGCGAAAACCAATAATATTAAATAAGACTGCTTAAAATGGCGAAAAATCTGATAGAGAACATTTAATACCTATTTAGAAATAGGTACATTCCCAAAAGTGAATATTAAGGTAGCTTAAATGGATCTAAATACTTCCAAACCCCAATAAGTTGCTGGGAAAGACATGGTGTATAAGTAAATCATAAAATAATAAAAAATTCCAAGATTCTTCAGGGTGTTATTACGGGTTTGAGTCCTTCTGTTTTGAAATGATCAAGCGGCGGCACATTAATCAAAATATTTTTTCTTTCACTACCGCTACGAGTAAAGTATTGACCATCAATCTTGGTAGTCATATTACGAATTCTCGGCATTGTAAACTTTTATTAAAACGCCAGCAAGGAAGTATTAGCTTTGAAATGAATTTGTGGGCCAAGATAATCGATATTTTCACTCAACCCCGAAAAATTTAAGGTCGTAAATAAAAAAGGATGTGATATTTTGTTAGCAGTTTTTTAATTAGATTCGGAAGTAGATTACGAGTAGTAGCTAAGATGAGAACCTAAATTAGAAGATAGGGAGAGCAAAGTATGCGAGTCAGAAAATGACGTTTATTGAAAGTTTTCACCGGCAATAAAATATTATGACAGACAGGAAAGGAGGCTCATACAGAAAGAATACTTGTGATTTGTCCAAAGGCAGCTTCAGAAATCGGATAAAAATCTATTTGGATCCGTCATAATGTGCCGAGACTTAACGCTGCAGTGCCATGTTTCGAGTCGCACTAAGGATGTTGATAAGACTGTCGAAACTGCAGTCCACTTTGGATAAGAATAAATTTTCGGAATTCAAGGCTATGTAATATGCAAGTGAAACATCATTTATACTCCTATCAGTGTGGGGAAAGTCAATTACCAGTCTCGTTATCACCCTAAGGGAAATATGATGAATACATCTCATACATGTGATCCACTGGTAGTCTAGGTCTACTTATGGATGAAAAAAAGTAAAAAAGGCATGCCTTAAAGGAAGTTCGTGTGTATACATAAAGCTAAGAATAGTTTCCTAAGGTCTGCTTATGATCAATATTTAGGGCTAGATAGTTCAGTAGCTGATCAAGAGGATTAAGTCTGCAAAACATCAATATATAAGTAAAAAAATACTGGATCTGAAAGATATTCGCGCATTTAGGATAAGACAAAAGTATGAAATGCTCATAAAGAATAAGCTGCGATGGAACAAGTCAAATATGATTTTACAGAGCAGCTAATTAATAGTATTGAGAATGTTCTATTAATAGCTTAAAACGCAAATAAGCCACGATATTTCAAATAAGCTCTGGCTGCATTTGCGAACAGTGAAAGATAGATGGAAAGATTTTATCCGCTCGTTCATAATAATGGAAACGATACTGGTAAATTAAGTTACTGTATAGATGGAAATGGACGAATGAATGAAATTATAAATTAAACCATTGGTTAAAGTATACAAAAGACACTAAAGTTAACATATATTGGAGAATAAAACAGCACGATTCAAATAAAGTTGAGAACAAAAATTAGGCATAACTCGTTATATCATACCACAAGCTGTTGATTGGAATCCGCCTCTCCAATTATAGGAGAAAGCATGCTTAATGAGGAAGATCCGTATGGAGTAGGCTGGGCAACCTCTGTGAGTAAAGAGTCAACTAGTATTTCGAAACGCTTGGCAGCAGCCAGGCCAGATTCCGGTAGGATCTGACTTCCTGGTGTGTAAAAAGGAGATGATACTAATTCAACATAGGCAGTGTGCAATTTCTGGAACATTGTTCTAACTTCATTATCCCTATGAACGGTGAAAATCCCGGTTACGCCAGCTGAAGTGAAACCCGTTGCACCTGTGCTTTGGAGAGATGAATTCATAGAATTCGAAGAAGCGATTGGAATAGGGGAAGCAGAGCGTGGTGATGCAGAGACAGATGGAGGATTCGTCACTGGGGCACGAACTTCCTGAACAATAACAAACTAAAAAGTAATAGTGAAAGAATATAAGGGTGCCAGTAAACCTTTTGGGACTTCCCATACATCTAGCACAGCTCCTTTTACTGTTATTTAAAAATTTTTAAACAAAAACGGCATACGAGTATTTACTCCCTTATAGAATAAATAAGGAAAGATAAGTATCATAATTTACTGTCTGATAATCCACTGGCAGAGCCAAGTCAAGCGTATGAATTCTCGGATAGCTTGACTTGCACAAATCTATGGTTACACTTCCCACTCAAAGAAAGATTAACTATAGGCTATTAATTCTTCTAAATTCATTGGGCCGATATCATGGAGATAACTATGATCACATCTGTAGCTTACGTTGTCTCCCCATTCGAGAAAGAGTTCGATGCATGATCTCCAAAACATATACAAGGCCTAAGCCTACTACGCTCTATATGGCCATGCACAAGGCTGATTTGGAGCAGGAAGGTAATGTTAGAATGTAAAAAGTAAGGGAAGTAATTCTTAGCTGATAACATTGTAATCATGGCTGTTTGCAGTAAAAACACCAACTTTCTAAAAAAAGGCTTTGGTAAATTAATTTGGTATACACTTGTATAGAGATAGCGTTTTTAAAGATGAAAGTAGTAAGTTAATTCGATAAGCATCAAATAAAATAACAGGGTAAAGTAAAAGCATACAAGACGATTCGGGAATGCAATAAATAGTAAAGTATTGTTTAAGGCATCACGATCCATTTAGCCCTACCTCGCAAATGGATTTCGAATCAAAGGTTACCTGGTTTCAAAATAACTTGAGCAACAGCAACCGTAACGGGATTATAAGCCAAATAGTTTAGTAGCAATCTTACATCAATAGAATTTGGGGAGCCATGCCGTTTTTGAAGCAAGGATAGCTGAATGTAGATGCTATCATGAAAAAGCTTAATAAATAAAACGAAATGACCAGCCCAATTAGTACATGGGCTAACTAATATTGAGTTCTATTTCTACTGATAGTGTCAAAGCATACTTACATGGTATAAAATTGCATATCAATCATGTGTCATTGTTAAAGGGGAGTTAGTAAGTATGCACACAATTTATGATAAATTTGGCATTATTAGGTCAAGTGAAAACATCATTCAAATTAATTGCACGCAAATGGTTCTATAAAAAATAAAATGTAAATAATAAAAGTAAATTAAATAAAGTGTCTTGCATTAAAAAAGGTTTTGTTTATAACTGATGAGCCAACTTAGTAACTACTTTTGTTCTGGTATTTGTGACGTATCCATACAGCCTATGATCCTCAGTTGGGTAAAGAAGACCAAGATATTGTTCTGCATTTTCTCGATTGTGAGAGCCTCTTGAAATACTGCCGAATTTGCCCATCTTTTCTTCAATGACATCAAGTGCTGCGTGAACTTTAAAATGATAAAATAATGGGTCAGCACATGGTGATGTCTTAAGATACAAAGGCCTATTGGAATTCGATATAACTGCAATGCAAACAGCCATGTGAAATGCGAGGCAATTAGCAGGGTAATTAAAAGGCCAGCTATAAATAGGAATAAAAAACTGATTACAATTTAGCAATTTTATTCTTTTTAGTACATAATTAATTTAATTAAATATTAATGTGCGGTTTTTTTAAATTGTCATAAAGTTCTAAAAAGATAGAACAAGCCATTCTTATAGTCCATTTTAAAATTTGTCCAGATCATCTGTTCTGTTATCCTATGTAAACAATTATGTATGGAAGTCTCAATAGAAGTTACGTCGCAGCACTGGAGTTCCTTAGGATTGTAATATAGTGTAATAATGATTTTATTTAATTATAACCTTCCCACACTATGCACAGTAAGCAAGGTTTTTAGAACCAAGGATTAGACCAAATAACCGCATCTATCTAAGGAATTGAAAAATTGTCTCCTAAATCCTGGCTCCATCTAGCTTCCGTACTGACCCTTCTTCAAACAAAACGTACACAGCAATCCGGTTTATCGATGCAGAAAGAAGCTGGAGTGATGATAAATGTGGGCAAGATCAGAATACTGCATTTAATAATTATATCACTTTCTAATGATGCAAATTACCTGAGCAATTATTAGGAATCCAATAAAATCAGGAGAGGGTGATGTTTGCTTTGCTGACGAAGGAGATCTTAGCAGGTCATAGCAAAATAAACAACTGCTTCTTTATAGGCTTGCACATGCGTTCTCAGAATTATGCTAGTTTGTGGAAAGTCAATAAATTTTGCATAACTGAGCTATATATATTCCTAAAATAACCTTTATGCTACTTATCACCATTTTTCGTTTTTAATAGGTTTTTTGAGACAGGACGAATACAGCTCAGATAGCTGATTTACTGAAAGTCTCGAAAACCTACTCCTAACTAAAAATGAGTAATCTCGAAGATTGCTATAACAAATATAAGTGTGCTTCATCGGCAATCCCACTACATAATGTGATATGGGGAAGAATCTGGCCTTCCTTGGAATTCGCATTTGCTCTGTGACCTCAGAGAACTTGTGGCAATGCGTAGTAATAGTTAACGTGTCGGGATTATATGCTGTACACTCAATACTTTGCGTTCCGTGTGGGGTGTTGATGAAGCCTAGGCGAGTTTAAAACTGCAGTTCACTCTAAATTATAATGACTTTTGGAAAGCAAAGCTATGTGAAATTCAATAAAAATGTTATGTATACTTATATAATTGTGATAAAATCTAGCCAGCAGTCCTTCATCGCCTTAGAACAAAATGGGGTGACTAATTAAGTCACCTTTATTCAGGTGCGTAAATAAGTTATATAACCTTAAGTCTCTCAATAAGGCATAAGTATTTTAAATCAAAGATATGAAGACCAAGATGGTGTGGAACTCTACATGGTCGCAGTCTCTTTTTGTTGTATAGAAGTTGTTTGAACTTGTTTTCGCAACTTGGTCATATTGGTTGGACGACTTAGAGGAACGCACCTAGTCCGGAGTCAATTGTATGCATGATAATTTCCAAAGTCAAACTGTGGACGTGGTATATTTTAAGACGTTTTGCCGGCATCGTAGTTAGCATCGTCAATAAGTTTTACCATTCTTAGAAACACACTACAACTCGTTAAAGAGATAAGTGAGGCCGATCTTTTGAGCAAACATGTGCTAAATAGTTGAGGTATCTCTCCTACTTCCCTAAACTATTCACATTTCCTATATCCTTGTATCACTACTTCACTGTTACAATTTTCCGTGCTTATTTAGATGTCGTGTGGTGTGCCATTTTAAGCGGCATTCATGAAGACACTTTACACTCCAAGCTGGCGTTCTCACCCCTTCTTCACTCTGGTGCTGGGAATGTCAATCAGAGTCTGTCATATTGTTGTGCAGCCCTCCTTCCCTAAGATTTATCAGAGTCTTCCTCTTGCCACATAGAATCCGTCTGCTATCTCTCTGGTTCAAGTATTTCACTTGACCACTGCCACCGCATCTGTGCTACTCAAAGCGTTATTAACCCTCCACTGCGTCTGAGTGACAAATTTGAGAGTAAAGCCTCTAAGTAAGTCTCATGGTCAAGCCTTTGCTACTTAGACCGCGTCTCTAGTAAAACCAACTGTCAGAAATTAGCTCCATTCTCCGCCAGGTCTATCTTGTTTATATCCGTACTACCAGGTCTATAACTTCCTATGCCCTAGTCTCTTGTGTACCAACCCATGAATGTTGTTGAACTGCTTGCTTTAATTAAGTTCAATGCTGAACTACAACGTTTGTGGGTTGGCACATAAGAGACTAGGGCATAGGAAGTCATAGAATTGGTATTACGGATAGAGACAGAATAAACGCGGCGGCGACTGCAGCTAGTTGGTTAATAGTTGGTTTTATCAGAGATGTGGTCCATGTAGCAAAGGCTTGACCATGAGACTTAATTAGGGGCTTTAAACTTAAATTAGTCACCCAGACGCAGGGGAGGGTTATTAACGCTTTGAGTAGCACAGATGGGGGGCAGAGGGCGAATAAAATATTTGAACCAGGGAGATAGCAGACTGATTCTACGATGCAAGAGGGAGATTCTGATAAGACCTAGGGAGGGAGGGCTACATAACAATATGGCAGACTTTGTTTAACATTCCCAGCACAATGGTGAATGTGGGTGAGAACGCCAGCATGAAGTGTGGAGGGTTCTCATAAATGCCACTCAAAAGGGCACACTACATTACATCTAAATAAGCAC